GAGCATCCTGGCCACCCTCCACCCTGACCAGGAGAGCATCCTGGCCATCCTCCACCCTGACCAGGAGAGCATCCTGGCCATCCTCCACCCTCAGTGCTCCCCCCCAGCTCCAGGAGAGCGAGGGAGCAGCACCCCCAGCCCCAGATAATGAGCTCTGCAGGGAAACAGCCTGTTAGTCCAGCCCAAATTGCACCCAGCCCAGCTAAACAAGGGCAGTGCCCACGCCTGGCTGGTCCCTCTGCACAGCCCTGCATTAGATCACCCAGACAGAACGTTGGCCCCTGATTATTTATTCATGTTGTATTTTCATTTTTCCACTTTAATGATTTCAGCTATGGGTTGTTTTATTGTATTCATTCCAGCTCTGTGTCTGCAAAACAGCCCCGAAACGACTGTAAATCAGGAAACTTTGCCTGGGAAAGGAGGGCAAGCAAAGCAAAACCAAGTTGAAATGACTCTCCCAAGGAGAAAACATATTTTTCTCTTGCACATTACCTGGTGACAGGAGAGTCACTCACTCCAGAGCTGTGGAAAGTTGTGTTTGCTCCTCCTAATGGTAATGGACATGAGGATGGAGTTGATCTCAGGAGTATGGACCCTCTGGAGACCCAAAATGCTTTAGCAGCCAAGTGCTGCCTCTGTGTTTGCACTGCAGGGTCCCCACCAGAGCCAAACGTGGGGCTGGGACCAGCTGCAGGTCCCCAGGAAAGGTAGCTCCAGGAGAGCTGGAGAGGGACCTGGGACAAGGGATGGAGGGACAGGACAAGGGGGAATGGCTTCAAATTGACACAGGGCAGGGTTAGATGGGATATCGGGAATAAATTCCTCCCTGGGAGGGTGGGGAGGCCCTGGCCCAGGTTGCCCAGAGAAACTGTGGCTGCCCCATCCCTGGAAGTGTCCAAGGCCAGGTTGGATGGGGTTGGAGCAACCTGGGCTAGTGGAAGGTGTCCCTGCCCATGGCAGGGGTGGCACTGGATGAGCTTTAAGGTCCCTCCCAACCCAAGGCAGTGTGGGATTTTCTGTTGGATTGGTGTCCCCTGCTCTGTCCCAGCTCTGGGCAATGCTGAGCGAGGGCAGGACAGGGGGTGAGGACGGTGAGCTGAGGGAGCCACAAATCCCTCCTGTGAGGGGAGGAGAGGGGAGGGATGAGCTCCCAGGGTGCCGTCAACCTGCAACGAGATTTTGGGAAACCTTGGCCTCAGTGCCCCTCCACTGCTTCCCACTCCTCAGGAGACCTCCTGGAGGAGGCACCCAAGGTTTCTCTGGAGGCAGAGGATCCAGGAGCTGGGCAAGGCTGATGCACCACCTGCAGTGGTTTCTCCCAAACCAGGCAGTGCCCAAACCCTCGTGCCCCAGCAGGCTCCACGCTGGCTCGGGCACTGTTGGCTGCAGAGCTCTGGTCCCACATGCCCATGGCACCAGGGGACTTCCCAAGGCAGGCAGGGACCAAAGCTGGCCCAAACAGTGATCTCAAAGCCTCTTTGCTTTCCCTCTCAAGAGCTTTTACCGAACCTAATTCAGCCAAGACTCCAGACCCAGGCATTCCCATCTCTAATTCCCGTTGGGATGAGCGTCTCCAGAGCCTGATGTCCATCAAACCTGGAGCCTGTGCCTGTGACAGTGGGAAGCAGGAGTTGCATTAATCTCTTAGGATGCATCTGCATCCTCCCTGACTGCCAAACCCCCCAGGGGACAGGATGCAGAGCCCTGGGGTTTCCCCAGCCAGGAACCACATCATCCCTCAGGTTTTCTCCATCTCATGGAACATGGGATGGAAGTTTTTACCATTTGGAGACGAATCCTCTGGGACAGAGAAAGGTTTGAAATGTGATGCCCATCAACTGCTCCTTCCCTCATTCCAGGAAGGCAGGGAATGATGTGGGTGGGAGCACCTCGATCCCAGAGAGCCCAGGATAAGATGATCAATATTTCATTAAAAAATATATTACTTTCCCCATTTCCTTTGAACTCAGGGGTGGTTTGCAGGTGGAGGGACAGAGGCTGCAGACAGGGGGGCTGAGGCACCCCTGGGGTGCTGGTCTGTGCTGGGTGTTTGGGTTTCTTCCTCTGGGGTGCTTCCAACATGCTGGAAACACTTCCAACCCTCCTACTCTGGGAATAAATGTCTCAGCGATAAAACTGTCTTCCTACCCCTGCCTCCCACACACACATGCTCAGAGTGTCTCGTGTAACAGAAGCAACCACTGGAAATATAATTAATTTTTTTTTATCAGATCAGGCTGTTTTGATCCGTTTCCAAGCAGACACAGTCTGGCAGACTTGGGTGTTTCTGCCCCCAGAAAAAGGTCCTCCAGTCCTTTCTGCAGAGCTCTGGGATTCCCAAATATCACCCAAACTCCAGGCTGGTGGCTGAGCCTGTGCCAGGGTGGATCTCCTGCCCAGCAGCTGAGGGCCAGGGGAAGGGCAGCACCTCCAGGCAGTTCCTGCTTTGCTTCTCAGGCTCCTCTGCAGGTTGTTTTTTTTCTCCCCCTCAACAGATGCCTCCATTTATCAATTAACTGGACAACAATGAATACAGGCATGGTGTCATTTCCTAGCAAATGGGCCAAATCCTGCTGTTCCTCCAATCACACCACTTCCATTAAACTGGTTCCACACAGACTCTCTGGAACTGGAAACATAAAGTGAGACGCTTCTGACTTAGAAAAACAAACTTTCAGGATCTTTTCCTTGCCATGGTCCCTCGAAAAAGTAAATGGAGCCAAAGGAAGAATCCCAAGGTGCAGTGAGAAGCAGCAGAAATCAGCACCAACCCACCTTTCTTCTTCATGGAAAACAACAATCCTGATGCCCTGAACAGCTCTGGGAGGAGAAAAGAGTCCCTCGTGGTTAAAAAGAGCAGGTTTGGCAAAATGACCCAAAATCACCAGTTCCAGCTCTCTAAGGAGATTTGATCCATTCTGCCAAAACTCTTAAAAATGGCAAAGTTCACAAAGTGAAAATAAACCCCCTCCCAGCAGAGGAACCAAAGTCCCTTTTGCTGATCAGCCCCCAGAAGGGTTTTGGCTGATTTCAGTAGTGATATAAGAAAATAAAACCAGAAAGTCCTGCTTAAGAAATTCAGTCTCAGCACAGCTGTGTGGGGAGGGATGGAAAAGTCACACTTGACATATTGCATTAAAAAAAGGTACATTTTTAAAGCTTTTTGGAGGGAGTTCTGCAAGGCAGAGTGGACAGATCTTTATGAAGTCTCAAGTTAGAGCAATGAAGTCACACTAATCTAATCTAATAATTAATTTAAGATGAATTAATCATCTTTGATGATCCATCCAGCTCAGGATATCATATGATTCTGTGTTTCTAGCCTAGAATCAAGCTGATCAAGAACTCAGACTGCTCTTTGTAGTGTGTTCTCATGGTGTTCCCTGGGCTGTGGCGTCTCCTTGGGAAGTGACCCCAAGGCTGAGACACTTTCACCCTCTGCACTCCTCTGTCCTTAACTCTGCAGCATCCCTGCCATTAATGACTGTTTTACCTCCTGCAGCCATGCAGGGCTCTCCTTTCCTGGCAAACTAAACTTTATTTTCAGATGTTCCTGGTTGTGTTTTGTCAGCTAATGCTGACTTGAGTCCCTGGTAAGTCCCTGAGGGATAAATGAGTGCCTGCTGCTCGCTCTCAGCACCACAGATGAAGCTGCTGAACAGCAGGGTTAGACCTGACCTTCCCCAAATGCTGATGAAACATCAGCACAGGCTTTAGTGGAATCACTGCTGCAATCCCCGTGGAAAACACCCACGGGAGAGGTTTAACCCCTCAGCCTTCCCCACACACCCCAGGCCCAGTTCTCCCCTCCTGCCCACAGTGCTCAAAGGTCTGTGTGGGGCAGAAAGGCTCTTACAAACTCTCTGGGAAAGCTGCTGATATTCCCAGACTAAGTTTGGGTCTCTAATTCTCCAACAGGGATGTAAATCTCCACAGGAATTAATGGATTTGTCTGAGGTTTATAGCTCTGATCACTTGAAGTATCAGAGAATCCCAGAATGGTTTGGGTTGGAAGGGACCCTAAAGATCATCTCATTCCACCCCCTGCCATGGGCAGGGACACCTTCCACCAGACCAGGTTGCTCCAAGCTGGACTTGGACACTTTGAGGGATGGGGCAGCCACAGCTTCTCTTTAGGGAAGTTGGAAAACTTCAGAAGTTGGTGGAAAAAGCCTTCCAGAAAATTACAGAAGGTTTTCTGGGCATTGCTACTGTTTGTCAGCCAACTTTTCCCTCTTTCTGTGCTTGAAGGAACTCACCTGCAGCAAACTCCTCCCTCCCTGCAGGACTCACAGCAAACTAAAGAATCCAAACTCGATGCACTGTCCTTGCTAAACACCCGGCAATGCCCCAGGGAGCTGTGGGCAAAGGGGAGGGCAGAGGCACTGGAGATATCTCAGGGAAAAAGCCAGGAAAGCCACTGCCTGGATCACCTCAGAAGGGAAAGCCAGGATGAGATGAGGGGAATGTGGATAAGGTTTCACCTCCCCGCTGTCACAGCAAGCAAAGGCAAATACTGAGCTCATGGCAGTGGCAGCGGGTGAGCCAGGTCCTTATTGCCTGCCCTTGAATACCCTCTGCTCTCTCCCTTTTAATGAAAACTAAAGGACAAGGGAGAAGCCCCCCCTGAATTAAAGGTGAGGCAGGGAATTAATGCCCCGTTCCTCCAAAATGCTGGATCGGAGCTGCTCGCAGGGTGAAAGTCTCTCTCTCAGCTGTGCTGTCAAGCCTGATTACGGCTTAATCTCATTTTCAAATGCCAAGCCCGGAGGATTTAGAGCTCTCCCTCCCTGCCAGCTCTCCACTGACCCAGTTTTCCAAAGGCTGTGTTTCTGGAAGGGGCTGGGAGGTGGATGTCTGAGCGTGGCTGCCCAGCCAGGCGGGCACCGCGGCTCCGACAGCGCCGGATAATGGGATAAATCCCGCAGGGACACTCTGGTGTGACAAGCACAGCTCTGCCTGTCTGCTCTGCTCTTCCCCATCCCTGTTCCTCGTGCTAATGGGGGGATCTCAGACAGAGGAAAGGGCTGGAGACACCTTATCTCTTGTCATCTCACCCTCCAGCTGAAGCAGCCCCTGTGACAGCTCCCTGTCTGTAGCCCAAGTGTTGCCCCCATGACCCCTCCCTCTCTCCCAGGTACCCAGCCAGACCAAAAAACACCAGGAAAAGATGAGCTCTGGGATTGTAACCAGCAAGAAGGTTCTCCCTGCTGGGAAGGCCCCAAGCAGAGCAGCAAGGCTCAGTTATTACCACTGTTTCACAGAGCAAACAAACCAGCTGGCTGCTTTGTCTCTGCAACAGTTCCTAAAGTCCCATTTTTGAGGCTGCTCTGTTTGACTCCAGCTTGAGGCTGCAGGCAGCAAACATCACACCGAGGATCCTGGACCTGCTTAATGGCAACAATTCCACAGAGCAATTCCAGAAGCAGGGACAGAGCCACCACAGGCCCTCTGCTCCAGCTTCTCCTCATCACACCCAGATGTGACATCAGGGAATCACCTCAGTGCTGTATAAAATAGATCCTCCCTTCCCAAATCCCATCTCCATGTCACTGTGTTCTTGCCTGCTTAGCCCTATCAGGACATCAAAGTGCTGCTGGTTCCCCACAGACACCCTGTGACATTTTGGGGCAGGTACAAGCCCCCAGTTTCTTCTTGTCCTCAAGAGATTTTCATCTTGAAGCAGAAGAAAACAGACACTTCATGTGCCAAGTCCTGGACCACGACTGAATGCTCCCAGAGCCTGAAACCCAAGATCTAGAATTAAATTTTAAGGACTAAGTGGAGACAGGATAATTTCCAGCATTTGGAACAGCACAGCTGGTTAAGCTGCCCTGGAGACAAAGGCACCAAGAGAATGGAGCCTCATCTACCCACCAACCCAATTTCAACTCTTCCTTCCCCTGACCAACCACAAATCATCTGTGAAGATGTCTGAGGTACAGAGGTCCTGCTCTGACCTGACTTCAGTTATTTTTCCCACCTCATAACAGGACATTCTCAAGGAAAACACAAACTAACTTGTAATAGGACATCCTCAAGGGAAAATATAAAGTAACTCACATAGGACATTCTCAAGGAAAACATAAACTGGCTCACAACAGGACATTCTCAAGGTAAAACGTAACAATTAAAATGAAATTTCATGAAATTAAATAAGAAAAGCGACGCCAACGTGGATAACTCACCTACACGCTTTAGCTCGGAGACTGGAAGGAGAAAAGCAATAATTCAGTTTTAAAAAGTGCAAAAGGGTGAGAATTTAAACAAAATAAGGTCTCTCTGCAGCCCAGGAAGGGCACACATGGAAGGATACAGTTCCCAAACAGCGTCAGGACGATGAAGTAGATAGAGGAGAACATCCCCGAGCGGACCCCGCCCTGCGACTCGATCCCGTGGTACATCACAGCATTCCAGTCCTCCCCCGTCAGGATCTGCAGGGGTTGGAGAGAGGAGAACAGGGGGGGACTTAAAGGAAGGACAGAGCGGTCAGGGGGTGCCAGGCAGAGCGATGCCATCCGGGAATGCTCCCCAGGGGAAAGGGGTGAGCACACGGGGGGCATCAGGCCCTGCAAGGGAGGGGATTGTCCTGCTCTGCTCCGGGCTGGGGGCAGTTTGGGCACCACAGCACAAAAAAAACATCTAAAGCTGTTCAGAGTGTCCAAAAGAGGGATGCAAAGACGGTGAAGGTGCAACCCTTCTGGGGTCTGCAACTTCCTCCAGTCTGCTCCCTGCTGCAAAAACAAACCCAATAGAATAAGGCAAACCTCTCTCTCTCTGGAGAAGAGATGAAGAAAAGAATCAAACCTCAAAGGGTGGAGATCAATCACCTCTCTCAGTGCAGCACAGGAGGCTCCTGGATGTTGGAGCAGCAAAGTCTCCTGGAATTTCAGTTTT